TTACAACTATTTGACGGAAAACAATTTTTCATACGGTAAACTATTTGGATTTTAAAAAAAACCACTCAACCGACCATGCTATAATTGAGATAGTTAATCAAATATCTAATGCTTTTAGTAATGATTGCTTTACGCTAGGAGTTTTTATTGATTTTTCTAAAGCTTTTGATACCGTAAATCACGACATTCTTCTAAAAAAACTCGAAGTGTATGGAGTAAAAAATAATAACTTACTTTGGTTTAAAGATTATTTATCAAACCGAAAGCAATATATTCAGCATGAAGCAACAAAAACAACAAATAGCGCCATAACTTGCGGGGTTCCCCAAGGCTTGATCTTAGGACCATTATTATTTTTACTCTATATAAATGATTTATATTCAACATCAAACTTATTAAAATTAATCTTGTTTGCGGATGACTCCAATTTGTTTTATTCGCATAGAGACATTAGGACACTTTTTAACATAGTTAACAAAGAATTACATAAAATAAACGAGTGGTTTAGGTGTAACAAACTCTCTTTGAATATCAATAAAACCAAGTTCATCCTATATCATAAACCAAATAAAAACAAAAATATTCCTCTTAAACTATCTGATACTAAAATAAATAATAGTAATATAAAAAGAAAAAAATTTATAGAATTTCTAGGTGTGGTCTTGAATGAAAATTTGTCGTGGAAGCTCCATATAAACGCTTTAGAGAGAAAGCTCTCAAGAAATATTTCATTAATGTATAAAGCAAAACTTTTCCTAAATATCATTTCCTTAAGAAGTTTATACTTTTCATTAATACATAGTCATCTAAGCTATGGTAACATGGCCTGGGCAAGCACAAACTGTACTAAGCTTAAAAAACTCTACAGTAAACAAAAGCATGTCTGTAGAATTGTCTTCGGAGTAAGTAAAAAAACGTCTAGTGAACCTTTCTAATGCAAACTTAGAGCATTGAATATATACAAAATTAACATACATCTTGTTTTACAGTTTATGTACCAAATAAAAAATGGACTATCTCCGCCGATATTTCAACCCTATTTTAGCAAAATAAGTCATAAATACCCTACTAGATTCTCATATAACAACTTTGTTATCCCAAAATTTACATTAAAGTTAAATTCATACTCAATCCAACGCCGCGGACCTTATTTGTGAAAAATTTTTCCCCAGATTGTTACTATCAAAAAAAATACACTTGAACAGTTTAAATCTGAATCAAAGCGTTTTTTATTATCTACGGACTTAAATTTTATTTTTCTTTTTTAGTAAAAAATTAAACTAGCACAATTTATTTCTTTTATTTGTTTTAAATTTTACTTGCTCTAAATTTATTTTACTAAACGAATTTATATATTAACAGTTATATCTATTGTAAAACGTAGTTTTTCACATTTTTACATATTTTATCACAAACAATTTATCACGATTTTATATATCTTGTTGCAAAAAACGACCTGTAATGAAGTCACTATGGGGCTTGGTGATAAGACAAACTGATGTCTTCTTCTTGCTCCAGCCATTTGTTTTATTATTTATGTTATTTTTTAAATTGTAACTTTTTACGGCAAAATTAAATAAATAAAAAGATTACATATCAAATATTTAAGCTTCATAATTTTTGAAAGATTAAAGAGGATTTTAATGTCAAATTTTTTAGGTCGGAATAAAATATTTTATGAGGTTTGTTTTGAAGGTTTTCTATAATTTACTTTAAATGATATTGCCCCCATATCTGACAACCGTATAGCTTATAGGAGTTGAATATAGCATACCATATATTTTTGAATGTATAACAAAATATTTTTTTATTACTAACGTTGCATTTGCACGAATGAATTAAGCGTAGTCTGCTTCAGTTGTTGAGTGAAGTTAAGGTTTTCATGTAACATTTTTCTCATATATCTTATTTGACTGACAAGAATTATCTTTTGATTTCTGATTCTGAAATTTAATATTTATGAAGTTGTACAGAGTTTGGTTTAAATAGAATTACTTCAGTTTATTTAGCATTTAGGGATGTTTTATTTAATCTTAACCAACAAACCATACAGATAAGTTTGTAATTAAGGTGTTAATTTATTTTGTTTAATTGATTTTTCATTTATCAGGACACTAGTGTCATTAGCAAAACAATATGATTTTGAGAAATGCACGTGATAAGGTCATTAATGTAGGTTAGAAAAAGTTGTTATCAAAGTTACATTATAAATCTTCTGATACCATTATAATGTAACTTTGATAACAGATTTCCATCATTCACCGTATCAAAAGACTTTTGTATATTTATAAAAAACCCACAAGTAAACGTGTTGTTGTCTAAAGCTTTGCGTATAGATTCAGTTATCTCTTTAAGTACTTGGTTACTAGTTGTCTATATATGCAACAAAATGTAGCTTATATAGACAACTGTGCTGGGATCGAGAACTTTCTAATTTATTACACATTACATTTTCAAGCGATTTACTGATATTGAAAAGTATTATTGATCATTAGTTAAAATGATTTGTGTTTGATCCTTTTTTTAAGTTTGGAATAATCCTAGCAACTTAAAATAGGTCAGGATATGTTCCAGATTTAAATGATTCATGGCGCTTAATGGATGACTTTGTTCTTTTGAAGCTTAAATAAGTATATTTGTGGGAATGCTGTTGGAACCTATGCTCTATTTTGGATTCATTATAGATAAGTTATCTTTACATCTTGTGGTGTAACTAGAGATATAAAAAAATGAGTTTGAATTTCGGGTTTTTAGATAGTGATAAAGTTATGCTTAGAAGGTATAGCTTTTTATGGTTGTCTGCAATAATTATTAGAAGTAGAAATAATTTAAAAAAGTAGAAATAATAAAAGAA